ATTCCATCTGTTGCAGCTATTACCTCTTCTAAAGTTGAGTTGACCTGCATTGCTTGTGGTCCTTTCTTTCCTTGTCTTTTCATACTGCTSGCGTTTCTTTCTGCTTGGTGCAAAAGCATTCTTAAGTGTTTTAAAAATTATTTGTTCTTTTTTGTGGTGCTGAGGATTGGATCCAGGACAGGTCTTAAAATTATTGAGTGGATTCTGAAAGGGGGAAATAATTATAAAGTATATTATTGATGTGATTGGGAAAATGTGGTAATATTGCATATAAATAATAAATATTTTGAGTATATAATTGAATTGTAGTTATGTTATTCTTATTCCAACAAATAAGTATAGAAGTGACATGTCATGATATTTGCAATAAACTTTCAAATAGTCAAATCTGTATCTACATATATGTAAAGAGGGAGGGAAAAACAAAGTAAATGTGGCTCAATCAGTGAATCCAGGTATAAAAGTTTCGCACTGTTATATAACTTTTACAAAGTTTGAACTTTTTAAAAATGTTGCAAATAGAAAGTATTCTTTAGACACATTGGTTCCCTTTCCAGTTCCATATTTTATTGATTATGAAAGGTCTTATATTGTAAGAATATCATATTAAAAACAACATTTTCCTGGGCTGGGGTTGTGGCTCAGTAGTAGAGCAGTTGCCTAGCATGTGCAAGGTGCTGCGTTTGATCCTCAGCACGACATAAAACTAAATAAAATAAAGGTATTGCATTCAACTACAACTAAAAAATAAATATTAAAAAAAAAAACAAAAAACCTTTTTCCAGGCTTGGTGGGATACACGTACAATCCCAGCAACTCAGGAGGCTGAGGCAGGAGAATCGCAAGTTCAAGGCCAGCCTCAGCAATTAAATGAAGCCCTGAACAACTTGGTGGGATCCTGTCTCAAAATAAAAAAAATTAAAAAGGCTGGTGATGTGGCTCAGTGGCAAAGCCCCTCTGGGTTCAATTCCTAGTATCAAAAAAAAAACAAAAACAAACTTTTGGGGAAAGAGTAAATATATATGTTGATAACAAGGCTTATCTTTATTTTAGGTAATTTAAAAGGTCAAAAAAAAAAACGTAGATATTTTAGAATTGTTATAATGCTTTCAGGAGAATGGAGCAATACTATTTTTTTTTTTGGTGTTGGTGCTAGTGATTGATTGATCTTGGGGCCTCATGCATGGTAGCCAAGCATTTTACCATTGAGCTGCATCCTCAGGCCTCCAATTTTGTGTGCTTTTATTTTAAAAAATACTTAAAACTTTTTTTTCTTTTTTTTTTTTTTTATACTGGAAATTTAACTGTAGAGTGCTTTACCACTAAGCTATATCCCCGTCCCTTTTTAACTTTTTATTTTGAAATAGGATCTTGGTAAGTTGCTGAGGATCTCACTAAGTTGCTGAAGCTGGCCTTGAACTTGTGATCCTCTTGCCTCAGTTTCCAGAGTTGCTGAGATTAAAGGCGTGCATCACTATGCCTGGCTGAGGAATACTCAGACTTCATTCTAATTTCTTATAGAATCTTTAAACAATATAGATACGAATATAGAAAAGACTAAGTATTAATTGTTGTTTTCTCTGGATAGTGGAATACAGGGAATTTTTATTTTCTTCATGCTAATCTGAATTTTCAGAACTTATACCAAAAATAAAACTTTTATTATATGCTTGATGTAAAAACTTCCAAAAATTATTGTAGCACAAAGAGCTATAAAGTATATCTCTGGAATTTAGATCTATAATACTTCTTTCTTCATGAGAAATATTTTCTTTTTTTTTTTCAAAAAAAATTTATTTAGTTATGTATGGACACAGTACCTTTATTTATTTATATGTGGTGCTTAGGATTTAACCCAGTACCTCACATGTGCAAGCAAGTGCTCTATCACTGAGCCACAACCCTAGTCCCGTGATGAGAAATATTTTCAAATGTTTTTTTTGTTGTTGTTAAGCAACCTTTTACTGGACACAGTGACTCATGCCTGTAATCCCAGCTGGTAGGGTGGCTAAAACAGGAAGATTGCAAGTTTGAGGTCATTTTATTATGCATGTCTAGTAATATATATAATTCTACTATATAGGGATTTTATATATATATAAAATTTTATTTATATAAAATATATATAAAATCCCCTATATAGTAGAAATTGTGTAATGGTAAGGAATAGATTTCTCTAGCCTTTTCTTTTTTTTTTTTTTTCCCCTGAGGTGCTGGAGATCAAACCCAGGGCCTTATTCTTGGGAGGCAAGTGTCTACCACTGAGCTACACCTGCAGCTCCTCTACAACACAATTTTTATCTGCACTTTCAAAAGATAGCCTGTAATTTTTATTACTTAGTCCATGTTGTTGAGTATGTGTTTTTATGTTTTGCTACTATACAGGGACACTATATCGAATACCCTTTACCTTTTTAATGATCAAAGAACATAAACATTACTAACTTGCCTTCTAGAAAGATTACACTAAATTACAATTCTGTTAGCAGTGTGTGAGTCTCTGAAGTCTAGACAAAATAATTTGATTTTTTGAAAATTGAACATTTTCTCATCTTGTGTTTTTTTTTCTCCTTTGTGTTTTTTAATAGGGGGATTTTGGCAATTGCTTGGAGCATGGCAGATCCTGAATTGTTACTGAGCTGTGGAAAAGATGCTAAGATTCTGTGCTCTAACCCAAACACGGGAGAGGTATGGGGAGGAGATGCTTCTTAACTTTGTAGCCCTTGGAATACTGTTTTATAGATAAATAAAAATTTTATATGGATTCTTTAGTGCATTCTTATGATTAAAGACATATGAAAGTAGATAGAGGTGGTTGTGAAAGATTAATCTAGTGGAGATTTTATCAGGAATATTATCTAAGCTCTTTCAACTAGAAAAATTAGTCATTGAAATAGTTTGTTGCAACTAGAAATGATTTCCAATAAAATTTATTTATTACCTAGATTCAGAAATAGTTTGTGGGCTGAGGGTGTGGCTCCCTGGTAGAGCATTGGCCTAGTATGCATGAGGCTCTGCATTCAGTCCCTGACACTGCCCCCTGCCCATCCCCACCCTCCACCCTGCCCAAAAGTAATACTTAGTTTGATTTATCTCACATGTGATTCCTGTAAATCATTATCTTCATTGTAGAATTGTTCAAGGTTTGGGTCTTTTTTTCTGCTTTTCCATTCTTGAAGATCATCTTGACTTTTGGAAATCAGTAGTTTTTAAATCTGTCTTCTGAATGATAAATCAAGAGTATAATACTTTGTTATATAATATTTGTTGTATGTCCTACCCATGGAAATTTGTAGGAAATTTTACATAAATACCATACAGTTTTATTTCTTAATAGTTGTATGGTTTCCCTACCTTTTTTTTTTTTTTTGATACTAGGAATTGAACTCAGAGACACTTAACCACTGAGTCACATCTCCAGCTCATTTTTTGTTTGTATTTTATTTAGAGAAGGGTCTCATTGAGTTCCTTAGTGCCTCACTAAGTTGCTGAGGCTGGCTTTGAACTAGCAATCCTCCTGCCTTAGCCTCCCCAGCTATGGGATTACAGGCCTGTGCACTGCACCCAGCTCCCTACCTTTTTCTTTTGGACCATAAATTCTAATTATAGTTTTTAGGCTTTTATTTTTTTCTATATTCAGATAGATTATTGAAAGTGCTTTTGCAGTTACTCCGATGGAATAATATAGTCTAGCGGTAGAGTGCTTGTCTAGCACATACAAGTTTCTGGAGTTAGCCCCCAGCACTGCAATAATAATTTAAAAAAAAAATACACAATTTCTTTTACATGTTTCAATCTGTATTATTAAAATAAAACAAGCATTTCTGGTTTCAAGTGTTTGAATTGTGATATCTAAGAATAAATAAGCATTCAAGTTAGGGAAAACAAGAAGATTAAAACAATAATAAATTTTACTTCCTATGGCTTGTAGGCCAAATAAATATCTTTCTTTTTACACTTTGCCTTTCTAAGTAATTTCAAAGTACATGAAACTTACTGTTTTGTCATTATTCTTATAGGGTACATGAATTTATTAAAATGGATGTTTGGGGCTGGGGTTGTGGCTCAGTAGTAGAGTGCTCGCCTAGCATGCATGAAGCACTGGTTTCCATCCTCAGCACCACATAAAAATAAAAAAATAAAGATATTGTTTTCACTTAAAACTAAAAAAAAAATACATAAATTTTTAAAAATGGATGTTTGCATGTGATTCGTTATATGTGTTTGGATTTAAAGGAATCTACTTTTAGTGCATGTTGAAACTAAAAATTGAAATTCATATTTAACTGCAAAGTAGTAATAGACAAATAAAATTTAAGTTCCATGAGACTGCATGTCTTATTAATCACTATACATGTCAAAGACATGAGCAACCTGAATATTTTTTCACTTACTTTGTCTTCTTATTAACATTTTGAATATCTCATGAAGTCTAAGTTAAGGTCATTTGACTTATTTTAAGGCCTAAAACCTATGCATGTATAAATGGCAGTCACTACCACACTTACTTTGAATTAGCAACAATTATATAATGTTTTCAAGATTTTGCAGCAGCCATTTTTGGTAGTTTTTCCATGTTGTTTTCCTTCTAAAGAAAGTTGTTAATGCTAAAATTTAGTAGGATTCTTTAGCATTAGGAGTAGTATGTATATGTTTTCTCTTTTGGCTAAAACCCAGATTTCTCAGTGAATTCTTCCCTCTCAAGATTGATTTTAAAATTTGGTCTTCAAATAACCTAAATATGATTGTTTGAATTTTGCCAGGCAAGAAGAGTTGGACAAGACACCAATGATAAAGTGTTCTGATTTTTAAAACATATCTACCACTACCATCTCGAAATCAGAAAAAAATCTTCTATTTTTAAAGATGTACTTGTTTAGCCAGACACCATGGTACACACCAGTAATCCCAGTACCTTAAGAGGATAAAACAAGAGAATCATGAGTTTGAGGCCAGCCTCAGCAACTTAGCAAGATCCTGTCTCAAAACAATAACAAGGGCTGGAGGTATAGCTCAGAAGTAGAGCACCCTTGGGTTCAAATCCCTAGTATCCAAAAGAAAGGTAGAGGGGGAGTGCTTGTTAAATCTTTCTTAAATATTAAGTAGCATTCTAGTTTAGCTTACTAGACCATCGTAGTGAACCATTCTTGTATTTTAAAGAAATGTTATAATTAATTTGCCTGGCTAAAAATACTTTCTAAAATAAAATGTTTAACCACAGTAATGTTGATCACATTAATTCAGGTATTTGGGTTATAAAGTGACTATATAGTTTTCTGACTTTTGTTGTTTATTTTTATTTATGTATGTATTTATTCATTTTTGGCCTAGGTGTTATATGAACTTCCCACCAACACACAGTGGTGCTTTGATATTCAATGGTGTCCTCGAAATCCTGCTCTCTTATCAGCTGCTTCCTTTGATGGGCATATCAGTGTTTATTCTATCATGGGAGGTAGCACAGATGGTTTAAGGCAGAAACAAGTTGACAAGGTAATAGGAAATGTTAAAACAACAACAACAACAACAAATCATAATTATTTTGACAAAGATGATTGGTCAATAATGCTGATTTATTGAATAATTATCAAAAATTTTTCTTGGGTATGACTTGAAAAAAATGCATCATAGTTTGTAAGTTACTGATTCATACTTTTTTTTTTTTTTTTTTTTAAAGCTTTCATCATCTTTTGGGAATCTTGATCCTTTTGGCACAGGACAGCCGCTTCCTCCATTACAAATTCCGCAGCAGACAACTCAACATAGTATAGTGCTGCCTCTAAAGAAGCCACCCAAATGGATCCGAAGACCTGTTGGTGCTTCCTTCTCAGTAGGTGCATCTTGGTTTATGGTTCATAGAAGCAAAGGAGTTTTCATAGTGAAGTGTTATAGAATCATTCAGATGGAAAAACTTGGGTTTGAGATGGATTTGTGGATGTTCATCATTCAAAATATTTTCTTAGAAAAAAGTGGGGACCTGCCAGGCACGGTGACACACGCCTTGTAATCCCAGTGGCTCAGGAGGGCTGAGGCAGGAGGATTGTAAGTTCAGAGCCAGCCTCAGCAAAAGCAAGGCACTAAACAACTCAGTGAGACCCTATATCTAAATTAAATATGAAATAGGGCTGGGGATGTGGCTGATGTCCTTGAGTTCAATCCCTGGTACTTCCCTACCTACTACCACCAAAAAAAATGAAAGTGGGAACCTACTTTACTTTTTTTTTTTTTTTTAATTGTGAGCCAGGTGTGGTGACTCATCTGTAATCCCAGCTAGTCAGGAGGCAGGAGGCTAAGGCAGAAGGACTGCAAATTCAAGGCCAGCCTGGGCAACTTAGTAATATCCAGTCTCAAAAATAAAAAGAGCTGGGGAATGTAGCTCAGAGATAAAGCACCCTGGCTCAATCCCCAGTACCAAATAAATAAATAAATAAATAAATAAATAAATAAATAAATAAAGTGCATGCATGTGCGTGCAAGTAAATGAAAAAGCAGAGGTTCCTGTTTCCCAACATCCACTCCAACACTATTTTCATACTTTTTTATTTATTTATTTTTTGGTAGTAGCATCATAATGGGCGTGGATGTTTCATGAGGTTGTATTTCTCTGATGATTAGTGATGTTGAGCATCTTTTTGTTTGTTGGCCATTTATATATCTTTTGCCTCCTGCTATGGGGTGACTCAGCATGAAGGCCCTCACCAGATGCCAGGACCTTGATTTTGGACTTCCCAGCCTCCAGAACTGTGAGGTGTGGTGACACATGCCTCTTCATTACATTTATTTCTAAATATTTTCTTTTAAGCTATAATAAGTCCTCTTGTTCATAAATTTGTTCATAAATTTCTATGACTCATAGATATTCTTTTATAGTAACACAAAGTAGACTAAGGCAGTTTCCTTTGCTATAAGAAAGTCCCATTTATCTGTTTTTGCTTGTGTTGACTATTTTTTTGGTGTCATATCCAAAAATCATTGCAAATCTATTGACTAAATTTTTTCTTTGTTTTCTTCTAGTAATTTTATAGTACCTAGTGTCATATTTAGGTTTTTAATCCATTTTGGAGTTGATTTTTGTGTATGATATAAAGTAAGGGTCCAACTCTGTTTTTTTGAACGTGAATGTCCAGTTTTCATAAACTAGATATTTATTGAAGAGATTATCTTTCTCTATTGTGTGATCTTGGTGCCCTTTTCTAAGTTCATTTGACCATATATGCATGAATTTATTTTTGTGTTTTCCATCTGATTCACTGGTTTTCATGTCTGTCTTTGTGCCAATACCACACTGTGGATTACTGTAGCTTTGTAATAAGTTTTGAACTCAGGAAGTGTGAGGCTTCCAGCTTTGTTTTTTCTTTAGATTGCTTTGGATATTCAGCATCCTTTTAAGAGTCCATGTGAATTTTATAATTTTTTTTCCTCTTCCTGAAAAAAGTGCCATTGGGATTTTATTTATTCATTTATTTTTGAGACCGTATCACTTTGTTGTCCAGGCTGGGTCTGGAACTTCTCGGCTGAAATGATACTCTGACTCAGCCTCTTGAGTAGCTTGGATTATAGGTTGGACACCACTGCGCACAACCTCATTGTGATTTTGACAGGGATTGCATTGAATCTATAGATGGCTTTGGATAATATGGACATTTTAATAATATTGTTTTCCAATCCATGAACACAGGATATCATTTGTTTCTACCTTTCTTTTTTTTTTTTCTGTTTTGTACTTGCCATGTACAACTTATCTTCTTCATTACATTTATTTCTAAATCTTTTTTTTAATCTATAATAAGTGGGATGGTTTTCTCAATTTCCTTTTCACATTGTTGATTGTTAGTATATAGAAACAGCTAATTTTTGTGTGTTGACTTTGTTCCTTCAACTTTGCCAAATTCATTTATTGGTTTTAATTATTTTGTGGTATCTTTAGGTTTTTTAATACAACATGTCATCTATGAACAGAGTTAATTTTCCTTCTTTTTTTTCCTCCTGGGAAAAAAGGGGTTGAGCCCAGGGGTATTGTACCACTGAACTACATCTTTAGCACTTTTCATTTTGAGGCAGGGTCTCACTGAGTTGCACAGGCTGTCCTCAAAACTTGCAGTCCTCCCAAGTCACTGAGATTATGGGGTTTTATCACTATTCCCAGCTACCTCTTTCTAATTGTGATGCCTTTTATTTCTTTTTCTTACTTCTGTACTCTGGCTAGAACTCTAGTACTGTCTTGAAAAGTGGTGAAAGTAGCATTCTTACTTTGTTCCTAGTCTTAGAGGAGAAGCTTTTATATATATTTTTTACCACTGAGTATAATATTAGTTATGGACTTTCCTTATTTGGCCTCTATTATGTTGAGATAATTTTCTTCTTTGTTCATTCCTGATGCTATAACAAAATGCTATGAACTAGATAATGTGTAAACAATAGAAATTTATTTCTCACAGTTTTGGAGGCTTGAATTCTGATCAAGACACAAGTAGGTTCAGAATTGGTAAGGCTCACTCTGCTTCCAGGATCGCAACTTGTTTCTGCATCCTCTTGGGGAATGATTGTTACATCTTCACTTGGCTGAAGGCAATAGAGGCTAGCTAATTTCCTCCTGTCTTTTTATGAGGTTTTGTTAATTCCATTCATAAGGGCTCCACCTCTCCTACTGTTATAAGACTGTAACCTATGCTTTCCTAGAATGTGCCTATTTGAACCAGCACTGTGTGGGTGGGGAAAAGGGCCTGTATTTCCTTGTACAGAAGTTTTCAGTGTGAAAACCAAATTTGGTTGTTTCTTTTTTTTCTATATATTTTTTATTAATATATTAATCAGATAATAACTGCTTACCATATTAAGGTAATATATCGACTGAGATATTACATACAGTAAATATTACATTTCATTCAGGAGGTGGGTTCTGAAGAGGAATAATAATAATTGAAGTCTAGAGTAAAATTATGGAGCATAGGAGAATATATTAGCTAATTTTATCCAAATTGGTTTATGTGTAGGCCACATTTCTTTAGTCCAGCAAGTTTATAGTATACATATGTTTTGACCATGTCATTGTGGTTAAAATGGATTTCACTCATTCTTCCACAGTTTGGAGGCAAACTGGTTACTTTTGAGAATGTCAAAGTTCAGTCTCAGCAGGGAGCTGAGCAGCAGCAGCAGCAGCATGTGTTCATTAGTCAAGTGGTAACAGAAAAGGAATTTCTTAACCGATCGGACCAACTACAGCAGGTCATGCAGTCACAAGGATTTATCAGTTACTGCCAGAAAAAAATTGATGCTTCTCAGACCGAGTTTGAGAAAAATGTGTGGTCCTTCTTGAAGGTAAAGTTGATATTTAAAACCATTTTATTTCATTATCTATAAATTTAACTGTTCCTATTCTTTTTATAATTATACAAAATAGTGGGATTCATTATGAGGTATTCATAAATGTACATAATGTAATTTGGTCAATTTAATTGCCCGGTACCTCCCTTTCCTTTCTCTTATATTCTAAATTTGTCTTCGTATTAAAGAAACAATTGGTAAAGTGTAGCTGCTGGAATTCATGATGAAATTTGAGAAACCTCACAAAGAGCACTCAACCTAAATTCTTATGTCAGACGTTCTTCCTTGAATAATTTGACAAACTTAATACAGTGTTTTTTTTTTTTAAGGCAATATAGTAGAGATATTTAAGGAAAAAAGATGACAGTAAAACAATATTTTTAAAAAATAGATTATAAAGCTTACTGTAAGGGGAATAAAATATTTAATATCTATAGTAAATCTAGTTAAGGAAAATGGGAAAAGAGAAGACACATAGAGGACAGAGGCTAGAAGTATCTCTCATCCTCCTATTAAAGAAGAATTTAGAGCTTGGGTTAAAAACCTTTGCCCTCAATTGCATTTTTGACAATAGACTAACAAATAGAATTTCCTTGTTGGTCATTTTTCCCTCCACTGGAATGTCTGTTTTTTAACACTGAATTTTCCAAGGAAAAGCAGTCTTGAATACAACAAAGTTTAATTCTAAAATTGTACAATTTATATTTTGTAATTAAGTATGAATTTTGAGAGATGATATAGAATGTTTCATATAGTGTGAATTATGCATTCATATGACCCTTGGGCATGAGTTTAATTTATATTCACTAAAATTAGACATCAAATATAAGCTATATTCAACCAGTATAATTTGTTAGTTGTATAAACTGTTCTTTGGATCTCTTTCTAATAAGTGGGCCTTCAGGATTATACATAACAGATTTTAGGTTTTTAAAATAATTTTATTTGGAATTTGATCAATTCTTATAAAAGTTAGGATTTAACAATGTAGGTTTTTGTTACAAAGATGTGTCTTTTCTTAAAAGGTGAATTTTGAGGATGATTCTCGTGGAAAATACCTTGAGCTTCTTGGATATAGGAAAGATGATCTAGGAAAGAAGGTAAACTTGAGGAAAGTTAAATGAGTATTCTTAAATAAAATGTTTATCTTTTTTTTAATAAAGTTACACAGATTATCTTTAGTCAGTTATTAAGCATTCAATAAAAATTTGTGTTTGGTTACTAAAAGTTTGAAGACATATTGTTAAATGTAAACTCTATATCTGGATTTAGAAGCTGACAGAACCACCTTTACTTCAAAAGTTCATTGTCAGAAACAATTGGGCCTTAATAGATTAGGCACTGTGAGTATCAAACTTTGGAAATAATATGTGCAATTTTAATGCAGTGTGTAAACAGTGGCCTTGCCAGAAAATAGTTAGCCACTACTATAGATCTCCCAAGTTCAATACAATGTAAGTGAGAAAAATGGTACTATTTCAGGCTGTCACAATTTTCCACCCTAGCTATGTTAATGCCATTAGCATATGACCAAATTATGTATTGATTTGGTGTAATAATAAATAGTAAATATTTTTTAACAAGAGTGTTTATTGTATTGAATCTGAATAAATAAAAGTTCAGGTTGTTTGCTTAATAGTTCAAATTCTTAAAAAAGATTCCCTTTTAAAATAAGGAAATCATATTGCAGATTTGTAATGTGACTTAATTATTATTTCACACTGTTGACATCAACATCAGTAATGGTAAAAGTATATCGTGGAAACATTGAAAGCAGTGTCAATGTTATAGTGTCTCTGTAATTCTATGCACTCAAGGTGCAGATTAATGCTTCCTCAGCATCAGCAAATCTAGCATATCACAGTCCCAGTATGGTATGTGGGTACGTCTTTGCTCACTCCTTTAGAGTTTTTATGGTTAGCTTTATTATTAACCTAAAGTTTCTTTTTTGACGAGGTATTGGGGATCGAATTCAGTGGCATTCAAATACTGAGCCACATCCCCATCCCTATTTTGTGTTTTTATGTAGAGACAGGGTCTCACTGAGTTGCTTAGCACCTTGCTGTGGCTAAGGCTGTCTTTGAACTCTCAATCTTCCTGCCTCAGCCTCCTAAGCTTTTGGGATTACAGGCATGTGACACCGCACTCAGTTTGTTAACCTAAATTTGTTGATGTAACTTTTCTAGATTCGCAAAAGATTAATATGAAAGTTTATTACATGCCTGATAGCAAAAAAAGAGAAAATCATATTTGATTGTCAAATATTTCTAATAGCAATTCTTTCCATAATGAGTACCTGGAGAAGTATTTTTAAAAACAAATTATAATTATTTAAAACAAAGTAGAAGAAAACATACTTGTTTTGAGGCTTGTTTTGTGTTTGAACAGCAGAATAGGATGACATCTGAACAATAGAACTCTAAGCAAATGAAACTAGAATCACTTAGGACCAATTCAGCATAGATGTTAGTTGTCTGTCTTTTTTTTTTAATATTTATTTTTTAGTTATAGGTGGACATAATATTTTTATTTTATTTTATGAAGTGCGAAGTGCTGAGTATCAAACCCAGTGCCTCAAACATGCTAGGCAAGCACTCTACCTCTGAGTCCCAACCCCAGCCCAGATGTTAGTCTTCTTAAACATACTATCCCTGGTGAAAACTATTATGGATTTTTGTCAATGAGAATGAAGAGGTAAATATTTGCTGGATACCCTGAAATAGAATTCCATTTAGTAGGTGAGTTGTTATTTTTATTTCAGATTGCTTTGGCCTTGAACAGAATGGATGGATCTGATGTGGTAAGAAGGTCTTTTAAAAATAGTTACTTTCTAAAATTTTGGTTAAGTCATAACAAAAAACTATGTGTAATTAAAGAAGTTTATGTTTTGTGCTTTGTGATATAAAAAGAAATGCCAATTCAGATATGATATTTAGTAAATTCATAGTTTTCATCTTAAATAGCTTAAGTTTACCTGGTAGAGCATTCCTAGCTTTTGGCATATTTGAATTTTGTTAAAGAGGAAAAACAAAAAAAGTAACTACTCATTCTTAAGGCAAAGATCTTTTGTGCCAGATGAGGTTTGGTAGGAAAGAACTAGAAGATGTTAACAGTAATTGTTAGTGGTAGTTCTTTGTTTTTCCTCTAATGTTTTTTGAATAAATTCACTCTATGTTGCTTCTTATGATCAAACTAGCTCTGGGTGTTTTTGTTTGGGTCTTTTGTCTTCCTTGTTACTAATAACCTTTTAATGCTACATTCTTCAACTTCCTCTGTACTTGTTTTGTGTACCAAAGGCTCTTAAAGATTCTGACCAAGTTACACAGAGTGATGGGGAGGAGAGTCCTGCTGCTGAAGAGCAGGTCTTGGGAGAGGTACTTACTCTTTTTTATATTATATTGGACAAGTATGTGATCATTGTTATCTCACATTAAAAAAATGGAATATTTTCTTGACTACTTGTTGGAAAATAAGTTGGAGTATACTGTTCCAGGTATATTTAGGATAGAAATCTATTTATCTAGACTGACAAAAATATGCCAAATTCTAAGTCTCTGACCTGACTTCTGGAATAGAAAGTTTAAAATTCATTGTTGATGTGAGAGATTGACACAATTTGTCAGATGACTGTCAGAATACCAAAATGAAAAGAGATTTTATTCAGAAATCCACTTTGCATTATATGTGAAGTGAAAGGGTTTTTGTTAGCACCTTCCTATTTAGGGCCTACTACTGGTGGCATAGGCTTCTGAATTGGTCCTGAAGTCAGAGTCCAAGTAAAGAATATTTCATTAAACTGTCATGATTTATTATAAATGTATCTTTAAGTTGTGCTTGATCATTTCTATAACTAATTAAAGAGTCCTTGAACACAGAGTTGTATCACTGATTTTTTTTTTTCCTTTTGATTTTTCTGGAGGTTTTCTTAACCACTATATACTAATCCTATAATTTTCTTTGTTTCAAATTTTATTTCATCTCAAAAAACTAACCAACAAATTCTTGTTTCTCATCTCATCTTTGACTTTTCATTGCTCATTGTGATATAGGGATATCCTGACCGTGGAATATTTTGTATCACTGTTTACTATATATAAAAATAATTTCCCAATGTATTTAAACTACTGCAAAATGACTATTAAAAACATTTTCCTTATAAGTGGACTTCCTAGCACTTATTTAAAGAAGTAAAGGATATGAACAAAATTTTACTAAAAATTTTGAACTAATTTTGGGAATACCTAGAAAGAATTGTAGATATATAAATGTTGTACTTTAATTTTGTACATCTAGATTATGTGTTATTAAATAAAAGACCATTTGAGATTATATTCACAAATAATAGGTAATAATAATATGTATAACGAATCAGTAATTGTCAGTATGTACTTTGAGTACTTGAAAAACATTGTTTCAAGGGTGTAAAATATGCCCTTTTATCTTTTTTTACCTCCTGAACTCAGAATTGCCTTGCACTTGCTAGACAAATGCTCTACCAGTGAGCTACATCCCCAGCCCTTTTTATTTTTTTTCTTTTGAGACAGCGTGTTGCTAAATTGCTAAGACTGACTTAGAACTTGCCATCCTCCTGCCTCATCCCCCTGAGTAGCTGGGATTACAAGCATGCACTGCCACCACCCCTGGCTCTTCCCTTTTATCTTGATATTCTTTTGTCAGATGTAGTAGTTTATACCTTTATTTGTCAGAGGTAGTCAGTACATTAAAACTTGTACATTTTTGGCCATGTATGTTTTAGAAGTGTGTAAAATGATGGTTAGTTGAGTTTAGAAAGCAATATGGGAAATATTATTAATTTTTTTCTGTATAATTATTAGTGAAAATAATCAGACCTATATCTCTGATTTATTCCTTAATGTGACTGGCTTACCTTCTCAATTATTTTGAGTTTTTAGATTCTAAAATACTTCTCTTTAGTTGGTGAAAGCCAGTGAGGGTTAGTTATTCTTTTACTATAGTCAACATTAATTATACTTTTTAGTTGAGGCTGTGCTGTGCTCTGCACAAAAATGACCTAATTCCAAAATGCCTTTGATTTTTAAATACTGGGTGCTTTTTCATTCAGTTGTGTAGGTAACACAAGCATAGAAAGCAGATATTTTATCTCATATAGATGAACTGCATTTTTCTTTAAAAAGGGAAGATTTAAAATATTTGTGTAGACTTAAAAATTGAGCATTTCTAATCTAAAAGTTTAACTAAAATCTTTTTGGATTTCAGCCAGACATGCATGGTCACACATACTTGAAATCCTAGCTACTTAGAAGGCAAGGAGGATCGCAAGTTTGAGGTCAACTTAGACCACTTTGTGAGACCCTTCATAAAAAAAGTAAAGGGACTGAGGATATAGCTCATGGTAAAGTACCCTGGGTTCAGTACCCAGTACTGCAATAAGTAAGTTCAGATTTGAGACCCTTTAGGATTTCAGATTTTTAAATTAGAGATGTTCGACCTATAGTCTCAGAATTTTGTAAAAGAACTATATGTATTTTTATCAGACTAGCCTGCTGTTTCAGATCCACTTTGAAAAAACATGACACATATAATTGAATTGGAGTATATAAAAATATACCCAAATACAAAAATATCTCTTTTAGATTGGCTTTTTTCTTTTTTTCTTTTTTTTTTTTTTTTTTGGTGCTGGAGATTGAACCTAGGGCCTTGTGTATTCTAGGCAAGCACTCTACCAACTGAGCTATATCCCCAGCCTGGCTTTTTTTTTTTTTTTTTTTTTTTTAACAGTACCAAGAATCAGACTCAAGGCCTTGTGCATGCTAGGAAAGTGCTCTATCACTGAGCCACATCTCTACATCTCTGACCCATATATTGCTTTCATACTAAAGACATCTAATGATTTTTTTCATGATTCAATTTTTTTTTAAAGAACAAGTTTAATTTTCCCTGTCTACAAACTATATTGTCATGCATATAGAAAACCCTAAAGACTCCACCAAAAAAATCTTAGAACAAACACAGGAATTCAGTAAATTTGCAGGATAGAAGATCAATATAGCAAAAATCAATAGCCTTTCTATATACCAATGAACTATCTGAAAGAAAAAAATTAAGAACATGGTGTCATTTAAAACAGCACCCCCCAAATAAAATACTTAGAATAGATTTAATGAAGATGGTGAAAGACCTGTGCACTGAAAACTATAAAACACTGATAAAAGCTATTGAAAAAGATATGCATGTTCATAGTTTAGCAGTTAGTACTGTTAAAATGTGCTCAACGCTACCAAAGCAATCAGCAGATTCAAGACAATCCCTGTGTGTGGTACACACCTATAATCCCAGCATCTCTGTAGGCCGAAGCAGAGTTCACCAAACCTGGCATGTAGAAGTTATTAGATAAGTTGAAGTGGGGGTGTTTTAAATCTAAATATGATAATATAGTTTAAAATATGTATGTTTTGTGTACTTCAAGGCACTCATAGTTGAGGTATCTAACAAAGATTATCTAGTTTCATTAATTTTTCAGGTATCTATAATGAATGTATACACTGAGTTTATTGAACATTATTTCTGATGACTTTGAATTTTACTTATAATTATATAATGGTAATTGATACTTCAGGAAGTCATAGATTTTTGTGTAAATTTAGACATGAGAATTCTTCTGGAATACCTTCCATGGGTTCATTTTGGCTAACATGATGTCTTTTCCATCTCTTTAGCACATTAAAGAGGAAAAACATGAATATGAATTTCTACCCTCCTCTGGGGGAACATTTAATATCTCCATCAGTGGGGGTAAGTGCCTATTGGTTTTATTTTAATATTTAAAAAAAAAACAAAAAACCTGAAAGCAAATGGCCCAGAAATTTAAGTTAGAAATGTTTGTCAAAGATGGTAGAGAGTTGAAAAAGAACTTGGTTACTATTTACCATATGTAATTGGTGCTTTCGGAAGGATGGTACATTTTGACACCTAAATGATCTTTATCAATCCACATAGGTAATCTGTAAATAGTGTTATTTTATGTGCTTCTTAATATATTTCTATAGATCTCTTCCTTTTTTTTTTTTAAAGAGAGAGTGAGAAAGGAGAGAGAGAGAGAGAGAGAGAGAGAGAGAGAGAGAATTTTTAATATTTATTTTTTAGTTCTCGGCGGACACAACATCTTTGTTGGTATGTGGTGCTGAGGATCGAACCCGGGCCGCACGCATGGCAGGCGAGCGCGCTACCACTTGAGCCACATCCCCAGCCCTAGATCTCTTCCTTAAATACTTAAATACTAACAGTTGTGTTCTCAGTTCATGTCTCTGTATAAAAATTGATGTGTGTACTTTTTTTATTATAGCTATTTTTGATAACAAGCCCTCTTTAATATGGTTGTATTGTTTCCTTGTTGCAGATATTGATGGTTTAATTACTCAGGCTTTACTGACGGGTAATTTTGAGAGTGCTGTTGACCTTTGTTTACATGATAACCGAATGGCTGATGCCATTATATTGGCCATAGCAGGTGGACAAGAACTCTTGGCTCGAACCCAGAGAAAATACTTTGCAAAATCCCAAAGTAAAATTACCAGGGTATGTTATTTTCAAAATAAATAAATAATAACATATTTATGGTTGTATAAGTAATTCTCTGTTATTGTGGATAATTGAGATTCAGAACACAGTAATGAATTTTTAGAAACCCATCCATAATTTTTTGACCCAGAGATAGTTTTTGGCATTGGTGTGATTTTTCCAGTTTTTGTTGTTTCTGTGTAGAATTTAAAAAGTAAACATTTTCATATTCTGTATAAAGGTTTAATATAAAAAACTTTAAAGGTTAAATTTCTAGCACCACCTAATTCTAACAGTATATTAGTGCAGAGCTTTCCCTATATCTTTCCATATAGATAGGTAGATATATGTGTATGATTTTTTTCTTTTTTCAGTGCTGTGGATTAAACCCAGGGTCTTGCATACACTAGGCAAGTGCTTTACCACTGAACTACACCACCCAACACTTTCATAATTTTTTTTTTTTTTTAATTTCAAGACAAGTTCTCACTAAATTGCCCAGCTGGCCTAAAACTCAAGATCCTCCTGAGTAGCTGGAATTACAGGCATGCACCACTACACCTGACTATATGTGTGTGGTTTTGTTTATGTTGTCACTTACATTATAAGCATTTTCCCACATCATTAAAGATTCTTACAAAAAAAATTTAATTACTGTATATTATTTTATGGGAAGGATGTTAGGCATATTCTAATGTTTTCCTCATACAGGTAACCACCATTATTTGTACAGTGATTAAAAATCTTTGTTGTGCCTAAAAATTGGTGCAAATTTCTGATTGATTACCTACAGTACTAGGAGAGGAATTTCTGGCACAAATGGCCTAAACATTTTTAAGACTCCTGCTTGATATTTCTTTTAATATCTTAAAAAAATATATTTTTTGTGGAAATTATTTTCTGTAAAAATTGTACCAGTGTTTAGTCCCACCAACATTGTTTGCTATCAGTCTCCCAGCCTCAGCTCATGTTATTCTCTCCCTGTTATCTTTTAGCATACTGCCTGCTTTCCAGTTTCTTACTCACTTCATGATTATTTCTCCCTGGGTCTTTGTACCTGGTTTTCCTTTTGCCTAGAATGCTTTTTCCTTTTTAGGTATACATGACAGTAGAGTTTTGTTTTTTTTTGTTTTTTTTTTGTGGGGTATCGGTGATTGAACTCACAGGCACTTGACCACTGAATCACATCCCCAGCTCTATTTTGTATTTTATTTAGAGACGGGGGTCTCATTGAGTTACTTAGTACCTCATTTTTTTGTTGAGGCTGGCTTTGAACTTGTCTTCCTGCCTCAGCCTCCGAGACATTAGAATTATAGGTTTGTGCTACCGTGCCGGCAGTAGAGTATATTTTGACATATTATACATACATGGAACTTTGCCCTTCTTGATGAAGTTATATCCTGTTTGTCTTTTTAATTATCTCTCAAAAATCCACATTAGACCAGGTCACATCTTCCTGTTAAATGTTTTCTTCTCATTGCTTTGTAAAATGTTTGTTGGTGATTTTCTTGTTTTAAGGAAAATAATACTGTTTGTTATGTCCTTTGGTTCCAGAATATACTTCTCTTTGCTGCTGCTTAATTTGACATGAAGTTGTTGTTTTGAAAGATGATTGCTTATCCAGACTTAATTTTCACTAATATACTAAACACTTTCAATTTTACCTTTATTTTTCTTGCCTAAGCTCATCACTGCAGTGGTGATGAAGAATTGGAAAGAGATTGTTCAATCCTGTGATCTTAAAAATTGGAGAGAGGCTTTAGCTGCAGTATTGACGTATGCTAAACCAGATGAATTTTCAGCCCTGTGTGGTAAGAAGTAAATGTTACATTTTACTATATTACATATATGACATGGTAATTTTATTGTAATTAAAATTATTATAATGAAATTAATGACAAATTTTATTAGGAATTACATTCTTCCATTATTTTTAAAAATATTATTTAGTAAGTCTGATTTCAGACCAGAATTGGAAACTTGCTTCCTACTTACTAGCTATAATTATAGGAAAGATTATTTTCTAATCTCAATTTACACAAAAGCAACTCTCACTTAATGAATGTTAGCTGTGATAAAAATTAATCAATATAGGTACAGTGGCACATGTTTGTCATCCCAGCTACTCAGGAGGCTGAGGCAGGATGATTTCAAATTGGAGGCCAGAAGGACAACTTAATGAAATCCTGTCTCAAAATGAAAAGTAAAAAGGGAATTACAATATTTCAGTAAAAATTGTCATATATAGCATGACTAAATTGGTGGGGTAAGGAGTAAATATTATTTGCAAGAAAAGAAGCTTAAGACTGCTCACATGAGTAAACAACAGTTTGCTATCTTGAAATATCTTTTGCTTTTGTGAATATGAAAATTGTAAGATACTAACTGTATTTTCACAAATAATTTATAGCAGACCTAGCTGCCATTGATAAGACTATTCTAAACATGCCACTAATAGTTTTGTGTTCATGTATTTGTTTCCATGTTATTTTTTTCTAACATAATTGATGGAAATCAGTTCTACAACTAGATAGTCTTATGAAGTTGATTATTATATATAATTTGTCATCCACTTCCATTCATTTAGCAAATAAATATTTACTGAGTATTTAGAGTGACTTTATATCTCCCTGTTGCTTATTGGTTGTGAAATCTAAATTTCTGAAAGTATTGAGCTGCTCAGAACCCTACGTACAGATTGTCCTGGGTATAATCTTCTGATGTTTTCCTCTTGATTTATAGATCTTTTGGGAGCCAGGCTTGAAAGTGAAGGAGATAGCCTCCTGCAGACTCAGGCATGTTTGTGCTACATTTGTGCAGGGAATATAGAGAAACTAGTTGCATGTTGGACTAAAGCTCAAGATGGTAGCAACCCACTGTCCCTTCAGGTTAGTATTTTTGAAAAAAAATAAAAAAGTGCTTACTTCTTGATGTTTTCTTTCATCTTACTTATGAGCAAGTTATATTCTAGAAGTCCTTTTGTTCTATAAAATTATTGCTTTCACCCTGCTTATTTACCTTCTGGAAGTTTTTTCTTTTCTTTTTTTTTAATCTTTATTTTTATGTGGTGCTGAGGATTGAACCCAGTGCCTCACACATGGTAGGCAAGTGCTCTACTGCTGAGCCACAATTGCAGTCCCTAGAATATTTTTACTGGATAATTATATGCAATCTTTGAAGAAGCAAAGTTTGAGATAATAGTATAGTAAAATGGGGTTGCAGCTGCTTATAAAATCAAGGTTGTGATTTGGCAGTTTATTGGGGGAAGCAGGTGACAGGAACACTGAAAATAGCCATAGGGATCCCTCTTTTTCCTCACGATTCTTTTGCCTTCATTGACTCCTTTTGCCTTGGGCAAGGAAAGAAGCAAGGATTAAGTAATGGGCTAAGGAATAGGAGACATCCTCAATACCGATCGAAAATTTTCATAGTTAAGGGAAAATGAAAGTAATAGGTAAATGGAATTCCGTGTAGCACCAGTACCAGGCAAGAGAGGAAGCATTGTGTTGTGTCCATCTACACCTAAAATATATATATATATATATATATATATATATATATATATATATATATATATATATATATATATATTTTTTTTTCCCCCCCAAAGAATTTAACGAGCAGAGTCTCACTGTATTTTAGTGTAATATTTCTTTTCCTCTCTGGAAAGAGATTTTATCAGTAGGATCATTCTGTTGAAACAAAAAATCAATTAGGACACCAAGATTTTCCAAGTACTTCTTAGAGAAAAGCCTTTTTTTTTATACTTTTTAGCTTGTGTACTTGTAAAGGGCAAGTGGGTAGGACATTCTTATGCATTCTACCTGGAGTTTGGCTTACCCTTGCAGAAAGAATTGGTATTGAAAAGCAACTTGAGGAACTTGAGTCACAATAGTATTTTAGTCAACTTTGCATTACTATAATGAAATATATGGGATAGTGAAGAGAAACTGTTTTGACTCATGGTTCTGGAGGTTTTGGTCCAAAATTGGATAGTCAATGGCTTTGGGCCTCTGGCAAGGGTAGCACATGCTCCAGGAATGCATGGCAGAGCAGACCACTTACAGCATGAGCCAGGAAGCAAAACAAAGTCCCTTTTCACAGTCCCCTTCAAGGGCATGCCCCAATGACCTGCGGACCTCCCTCTTAAAGGTTCCATAACCTCTCAATAGCACCACCCTGGGGACCAAGCCTTCAATACATGGACTTGTATGTTCTAGAACTGTGTGGGCATGACTATCTAGTTGGTAAAGCACTTGCTTAATATGTATGATAACTTGGGCTTGATTCCCAGTATAGCAAAAGAAACCAGAAAAAACAAAAGACAAAATAAAATTATAAACAATACAGACACAATAAAATGTCTACAAGGCTCCAAATCAGGATCCAAACGATAGCATATACCAAGTCCCTTTGGAGGTCATGTGCCCTTGTCTATGAGTCATTTCATAGTAGTAATAGTTTTAGAGGATAGATGGTAAGATGTTTTCACTCATAGTTCCTCTTTTGCATGCTAGGAACTTTGAATATCTGCCTGTTTTTTACTTTGTTTTGTTTGTTTTAGATTACAAGTATCTGGCAGCTTAAGGATGTTTGGGAGAAGGTGGTGACCTATACCCTGTCCATGAGTAAAAAGAGACCTTCTTTGTCCTTACTTCTATTTTAATTACCTACATAGTGGTCAGCAGTTATTTCATATATTATATATTTAAACAAGGATCTGAATAGGTGCTGTACTTTCAGGAAGTTTTGGAAATCAGTAACTGTTGTTTCCTGCTTCCTCTCATATGCATGGTCTTGGTATCTCTCACACTCCCTTCCTTTTTTCACTTAGGATCTAATCGAGAAAGTTGTCATCCTGCGGAAAGCTGTACAACTCACGCAAGCCATGGACACTAATACTGTAGGAGTTCTCTTGGCTGAAAAGATGAGTCAGTATGCCAATTTGTTAGCAGCCCAGGGCAGTATTGCCGCAGCCTTGGCTTTTCTTCCTGACAACACCACCCAGGTAATTAGGATTAACAACTTATCTTCTTTCTTTTAATGTATAAATGAGTAGAGTCCAGTAGATAGCACTTGGTATTAAATATATACATACTAGTAGGTGAATGTTATGGAGCAGTTGAATTATTATCACTTAACTATAGGTAAATGCTATTGATATTCTTCAAGGATCATTTTAGATGTATCCATGCTGTGTCAGAGAGAGAATGTTTTGAGGTATGATAGATCCCTTTGTATTTGTAGTACTTTAGGACTGAAAGAGGAAAAGACCAACTTGTCGTTTCTAAAGCTAATTCTTCATATAAGATTCTTTGTAGGGGGCTGGAGTTGTGGCTTAGCGATAGAGCGCTCGCCTAATATGTGTGAGGGTTCGATCCTCAGCACTACATATAAATAAATAAAATAAAGATATTGTGTCCACGTATAATTAAAAGAAAAAAAATATTCTTTGTAGGAATATTTTATGTTGAAAAGCTATAAATGTTAATTCAGACAAATGAGATTGTTAAAAATTTTAAATTCCCATATGTGTCACTCCAAATACTAGTGATGAAATTCATTGTGCATTTTGTTTTAATTTGATACTGTTTACGGGCAAGAATATTTTTTAAGTATTCGAGGTAGGGTAGACTCTATTACTTCTAGTTTATTGTCCTTATTTGATATACAGAGAAACTCAGACTTTTTAATATTTGTTTTAATTCAACAAGTGACTGGGTATAGAATAATGAACAGATTGCCAAGTTCTTGAAGGCTTTAAAATAGTAAATGCGATTCCAAAAGTAAAAATACTGTGATGCTATGGGAACACCAGAAAGGGAAAGTTTAATCCAGATCATGAATGATAGGACTTGAGGAAACTTGTCCATAAGTAGGATATTTATGTCTGATGGAGATTGATTTGGAGCCTTGCAGACATTTTATTGCATCTGTACTGTTTATAATTTTATTTTGTCTTTTGTTTTTTTCCGGTTTTTGGGGTTTTTTTTGCTGTACTAGGGATCAAGCCCATGTCATCATACAAGTGCTTTACCAACTAGATAGTCATGCTTACACAGTTCTGGAGCATATATGGAGGTTTTCTTTGTTTGTTTGTTGTCATTTGTTTTTAGTATTTTATCTGTTCTAGGGAATTATCAATAAGCTTTATTAAGTAAAAATACACGTACACTCTGTAACTGTGTGGGTATGACTAACTAGTTGGTTTTATATATACTTAACTGTAGGATTCAGCTCATATCCTTCTAAATTGTTAATAGGAATATTAGATAGAACAGAAATATATGGTGACTTTTCCACAATAGTTTATAAAACTCTTATTTAGTAAGGGCTCATTGTTATGTTGAGATAAAAGACCCTTTATTTTAAGATCAACTTAATCTGAGACCTTTAGATCATCTGGTCTTAAGAGTAAATATTTTATTTTTAGTATGATTTATAATCACATGCATGTCTGATACATTATTCTTAATCTTTTCTTTGGACTTTAAAGGATATTCTTTATGCAAATGGGCATAATATTGATGTTACTTCCTCTTAAATATCAATAGACCCTGCATTTTCTGAAGAACATGTCAATAACTTTGTGTTATCATTGTAGTATACAATTCTACCATTGAACATAAGGATACTCTACCACTACATTTCCAGCCCTTTTTAAATTTTTTTATTTGAAACAAGGCCTCATTAAGTCTCCCAGTCAGGCCTCAAACCTCCAAAGTTAATGGGATTACAGTTTTGCACCACCATGCCTGATAATATCTTGAAAGTAAATGGCCACTTTAAACCTTTTACAAATGTATAGGATTATATATATTTTTTAGAAGTGTATTGCTTTCATATCTACATTTCAAGAAATTACCATTGTAACTTGATAAGAGGTGTTTTATTTCATGCAAACATCATCGCAAAGCAAGGTGTAGAAGCTCAGCTAGATTTATTACTGTTCACGAGAGTAAATACCTATCTCAATTATTCTTTTCTTTTCCAATATAAAGTTTGCTGAATGTACAAGAAGAGTTTATCACTTAGGATACAGAAATTATTTTAGGGGTTGGGGCGAGGGAGTTACCTGTAAACAAAGACTATATTGATTTGATCCAAAAAATAAAACTTGAAACTATTCTTGAACTAACATTAAAAAAAAAAGTCTATTGTTTTAAAAAGATAGAGAATATATTGTTCACAGGATATGAGTTGTTTATTTTCTATATACTGTAATTGATGAGGACATGGATAATATCTTCATGTTTCTGAGAAGTAATATGTACATGGGAGGAGGGGATAATATTATTTCTAAAAAAAGATATTAAAAATATTTCTGGAATATTTTAGCATATCGCTTTTTTTTAACACCCAGAACATATATATGGTCAATATATATGTTAACTGTATATATAATGGGTAACTTGTAAATTTGTATAATTGTAGATATGTACAAGCTACAGATCTAAATTTCATGCCTTACAGTTTTTTTAAATATTTATTTTTTAATTGTAGTTAGACACAATACCTTTATTTATCTATTTATTTATTTATTTTTATGTGGTGCTGAGAATCAAACCCAGCGCCTCACGCGTGCTAGATAAGCACTCTACCAGTTGAGCCACAACCCAGCCCTGATGTCTTATAATTTTAGTATATTTCAAAAATATCTTCTGGGCCAGTAGGTTTCTTCCCTCAGTTAAATTACAAGTTGTACTATATGTCATGGATGTTTAGTGCCAGTCATATTAGAAACATGAATTGAGTCCTCAAGTGTCAGGGTCTGTTGTAGCATTCACGGCATGCGAACAAAAAGTGAATCTCTTGAATGATTAGATTGCTTTAAGAAAATCAGCACGCTATCATAAAGTTGACTGAACTTTATTTGTTTTGTTTTCTTCCATTCATTGCTTTTTATAGCCAAACATTGTGCAGCTTCGCAACAGACTTTGTAGAGCACAAGGAGAGCCTATACCAGGACAGGAATCACCTAAAATTCCTTACGAGAGGCAGCAGCTATCTAAGGGCAGGCCTGGACCAATTGCTGGCCACCCACAGATGCAAAGAGTTCAAACTCAACAATATTATCCCCATGTGAGTAATGTAGTCCAGATGAAGTGGGAACATTTATGCATTTCAATTCAAATTGATAGTTTCAGATTGTTGGTTAAAAGATGTTCTGATGTGGTTAAAGTAGATAACATATTGTGTTAACAGTTATACTTTCTAGATTCTTGAAAGTGGTATTTCTGATCTGCATTTGAAAATCCTTTTAATCTATTCAAACA